GACTCATAGTGATCCGCCTGTTTACAGCCTCCCAAGAGCTGGGATTACAGGCACGTGCCACCATGCCCAGTCTCTTTCGCCAAATCAGCACACCCTGGGGGCAGCACTGGCACCAGCATGGCCCCTGTGAATGCTTGCAGGCGCTTTAATCCACTGAGCTCTTTGGCTGGCCCTGACTGTTTTATTTTTATTCATGATTTTCTACCTTTTAGTAGCTGTTAAGAAATTCCCAGGGCTGGAGAGATGGCTCAGTGGTCTAAAGCACCTATTTGGAACAAGCTTGGAAAAGCCCAGGGACCGCGGTTCGATTCCCCCAGCGCCACATGCCAGCCAGCCACGCCCCCTGGTGGGCTGAGCTGGCCACACACACACACACACACACACACACACACACACACAAAATAAATGTTAAAAAAATAATTAAAAAAAAAAAAAAAGAAATTCCCAATCCCTAGTGTTGTAATACAGATACTTTCCTAGTAAAGAAAGAGTTAGATTCTAATGGTTGTCTAAAAATCTAAAGTGATTGTGCAAGGAAATATTTAAGATGGCTTGTTTGAATGTCATTTTCCCAGATAAGAAAATAACTTTATCCTTCCTTGATTTAAAAAGCAAGTATACCGTTTTTCTCATTTTTAATTTATGTTCTGTCAGATAGCTTTTTCAACTGCAGACTGGTAATGGTGGTAGATGCCTGCAATCCCTACACTTGGCAAACTGAGGCAGGAGGATCACTGAGTTTGAGCTCAGTGGATCAGGAGGATCACTGTAGTCTGGGCTACATAGTTGAGACCCTGTCTCAAAAAAGAAAAGAAAAAGCAGAACAATTTGATTGAATTAAAAATATAGAGAGGTTGACTATGTTGACTACTCTTTTTTTTTTGAAACACAATTGCACTGTGTGTCCATGCAGGCCTTGAACTTTCTATGTAGCTCTATGTGCTCCTGCCTGAATCTCTTGAGGGTGGGGATTACTGATAGGTGCCATATACTGACTTCAAAGAGTATTTTAAAGGAATAATGGAAGAATTTTCCAGTTTAGTCCAGAAATCCTTCAGATTTTAACTTCTGTGAGGATCCATTCTTCTTTTGTGTTTTAAAATAATTCACAATAAGAACTTTTATTTTTATCCTAATAGAAAATGAACCCAGTACCCTCTCATGAGCTATATCCTACCACACTCCCCCTTTAATAAATTAAATAAAACATTAAAAAGTGTTTGGTATAGGCTCTCATTATGCAGCTCAGACTCATAGTGATCCTCCTGTTTTCAGCCTCCCCAGTGCTGGGATTACAGACATGTGCCACCACACCCGGACTTAGTCCCAGGCTCAGCGTACCCCTGGTGTCGGGGCTGGCGTAGCATGTAGGATGGAACCCTGGTCCCTGCACTTGCCAAAGCAGGCTCTTCCATTGGCTGAGCTATCTCACCAGCCCTCCCTTTTAAGTTTTGAGTCAGTCACTATGTTAAGTAGACCAGGCTGGGCTTGAATTTGTGATGCCTCAGCATCCCAGACTGATGGGATTACAGGTGTTCACTACCACAGCCAGCCAACAAGCTCATTTAATGAATAAGTGAATCTTACAGTGATTTTTAAAGCACGATTATATAGTTTAAATAGCACTACAGTATTACATATACTATAACAACATTAAATATTATAAGCTTAAGTCACAAAACTTTTCACTTTCACCAAATTTAAGTCTTGTAGCTTAAAACTCTAACAAATATAAAAACCTTAATAATTTGCCTAGAGATATCTATGCTTTATGTGTGGCCTATCCTGAACCGCTTGGAGAAAGACTTTACGCAGAAACGAAGAGTTTTTTGGAAAATCACGTTCGGCATTTGCACAAGGTAAGCCCTGATATACACGTGATATGAGTGTGTTTTTAGCTGCATAGCTATTTGGTCTGTTTATTGTCTTCCATTATAGAATTTGTATCAAATTCAAATTTTTCTAGTTTATTGAACACAATTTTTCAAATAATGTATATTTTTAAGATCTTACCTAAAACTCACAGCAATCTTGCCCCAGCCTCCTGAGTGTTGGGATTCCAGGCATGTGCCACCACACCCAGCTATTTTCCAGGTCTTTTAAGTCAAGCATTATGTTATTAGGTTCTCCAAGGGAAATGAGGTTAATTATTCAAAATTGTATAACTAGTGTGTGAAGGAAAATTTACCTTTTAATTCCTACATGTTGGCAAATCTCTATTTTCAACCTTTTATCTGTCTCTTCGTGGTATAAAATGTCTACTAGACACCTGAAATGAAGAGGGAAAGAGCCAGTGTGAAAGTGTGGCAGAGCCCTGTGCAAGCAGTTATGCCCAGTGCATGTTGTGCGTGAGGCAGTGTCGTTGACTCCCTCCATGCGTGGACCCAGGGCTCTGCAGCATTTTACCAGTCAGCAGTGTTTCTGACTGGCTGTCCATCTTCTCAGGACCTTGAGATAATTACTGTCTGGGTTGCAGTCCTCATTCTGCCTTTTACTAACTGTCGTGACAGCTGTGGGAGCTCACTTAGCACCTGAGGACTGAGCTCTCAGAACTGGCGCCGTCATTGTAAAGCGTCTAGTCCTGTGTGGGCGGCCGGGATAGATAACACTGTCAAATGGTCACAACCCGTAAGTAGGCAAAATTGATCATGGCCTTAAGGCATTTCAGGGAATTGCTCTATTTTTTTAAAAATAAGTTTATTGGTACATTTTAGATGTACATAATGATAGCATTTGTCATAGGGAATTTGTACTTGTATATAGTATAACTTGATTCTTTTTTTTCCTATTCCCTTATTCACCCTTCAATCCCTTTCCCTTTTTATTTGTTTGTTTCTATTTTTCCTTTTCTCCTTTTCCCCTTCCCCCCCTGTTTCACAATTTCCATTATACATGTTGGTTCTTATTTATACTTTCATTTTATGACACCAGAGAGACCAAGCAGTATTTATTTATTTTATTAATTTTTATGGTACTAAGGGTTGAACTCAAGAGTCTTGTGCATACTTGTCAAGCACTGTACCACTAAGGTACATACCAAACCCTGACCAGGCAGTATTTATAATTTATTTCACTACAAAGTATGGTCTCGCTTGTGGAATTCCTCTCTTTTCTTTCATATTTATTGTTCATGGCATGTACATGTTAGTGTTAACTTATTAGCTTATGAAGTGGTTTTGGAAGAAAGTACTCTAATGTCTTAACTGTTTAGTTTTAAAGTTTGCTATTATGTTGAGCTGAGTGGTACAGGCCTATGTGCTCAGCACCTAGGAGGCTGAGACAAGAGGATTGCTGGGAGGTCAGGGCTAGCCTGGCTATATAGGGGAAACCCATCTCAAAGGAAAACATAATACAAAGTCTGCTAGTAAGTTACTGAATTTTGGTTATGCAATGATTCATAGCTGTATAAGACATAAGTTTTTTGTTGTTGGGAGATGAAGTTTAAATGTCATATTGCTGGATACATCCTAGTTTAAATAAATAATTTGACATCATAGACATCGTTCAGGTAGTTATTACTGTGTGACCATGATAGTTTTTCTGGTGGTTGGGATCAGACCTAACTTGGTATACATGCCAGGTGTCCCCTCTACCACTGAGTTGTTTCTCCAGCCCCATAGTTTTTACAGAATAAATTCCTAGGCATGGAATTGTTTGGTCACACACCTGTTTTATTTATTTATTTTTTTGACATATATTAATTACTACATTATTTTCTAGGTTTGTTAGGTCCAAACCACCAGAAGCAGTTTGTTAAGGGCGCTTTATTCATTCCCCAGCACTAAGAGCAGATGCTATTTTTAATTTACCAGTTTGATAGACAGGAAATGCTACTCGTAGGTTATTTTTTCATTTTAAGTCTTAATTATTAAAATGCTGAGTTTGGAAGCATGGCCCTTCATTAGAGAATTAGATAAAAACTGAGATCAGGTCTTACCTAAGGTCATGTGGACAGTTAATTGGAAAACTGATATCAAAGAGCCTTTGGGCTTTTTAACGTCAGTCCAATGTGTTTCTTATGGCCAGACTAGGTTTCCTTACACTGGGTCAGGTGGTGGTACTGGGGATGAGACCTGGGCCTTTGCCCTGAACTACATACAGCCCTGGCCCTTTTTCTATTAGTTTGAGTCAGGATCTCACTAGGTTGCTAAGTTGTACAGGCTAAGCATGAACTTGTGATCCTCCTGCCTCAGTCTTTAACAGTGCTGGGATTATAGTTATGGATTTACAGATAAATTATTAAAAAGTGGACTTGAGACTTCAGGTTTTTTGTTTTTTTTTTAAACCTTTTCACATGCCTGTAGTCCCAGCACTTGGGAGGCTGATGTAGGAGGATCTTTGTGAGTTAGAGACCTGCTTGGGCTACAAAGTGAGCTCAGTGCCAGCCTCAACTGCATAGCAAGACCCTGTCTTGAAAAATAAATGAATGAATGAATAAGTAAAATAAATAAAATGAAATAAAATAAGGGGCCAGGGAGATGGGTCAGTGAAATAAGCTCTTCGCTGGCAAGTACAAGGGCCTAAGTTCAATTCCCGGTTCCACAAAAAAAAAAAAAAAAAAAAGGAAAAAAGTAATAGCTGTTAGATAAATGAAAAATCTCATTTTGGAGAAAAGGTCTCAGTGTCCAATCATAGCAGTAAGGTGTTGCTACACTAGTATCACTTGGGCTGATCAAAAGTAATAGATTTAAGGAAGCAGATACATGATAATAGGATTGTATTCTGTTTTAAACTGATCCTCATGTTCTGTTCCAAAGACGATCAGACCCCAATACATTTTTTGTCCTTTTATCTTGGCATGAAATAGTTTCATTCTATTTGATGGAGGCATCACTTCTAAGTCCTAGACTCATTCTTCCCCCAGTTATTTCATACTTTTGTTTTTTGAGACAGATTCTACTATGTAGTTCAGATCTACCTCGTTGGGGATCTTCCTAAGTCAGCCTCCTGAGTGTGGGATTATAGGCATGTGCTTCCATGACCTAGATTCCTAGTTACTTCATTTGTATTGAGGTAGTTAATATAACAGTTGTGAATGTAATTTATAATGCTTGAAGTACTTATTTTTGAAGGTGAGTTTTGAGACATTTTGTATATTATAGTGAAAATAATTAGCACTTTCTAAATAAAAATGTTTTCTTTGTTTATATAGAGAGTTCTAGAGTCTGAAGAACAAGTACTTGTTATGTATCATAGGTATTGGGAAGAATATAGCAAGGGTGCAGATTATATGGACTGCTTATATAGGTAAGTGTACCTTTTAAATGTTGGACAATCTGAAACATTATTGCCTGCATTCAATAAGTGAAATAATAACTTTATTATTTACAACTGAAATACACCAAATAAAATCACTCTTTCTTAAATGAATGTTCCCTTCCCCTGGGAAATGCCTGTTTTAGGCCCAGTGTTTATCTGGGAGCCATATTGTGTATAGAAAATTGTCTAAAACGGAAACTATTTAATAACGTGGCTGTTTCTTTACATTATCTGCAACCCCTAGGTGCGGTTAAATTTCAGTAGACATCAATGGGGAAATTCAGTTTAGGTTGACGTTGAGGTAAACCTAAGCTCACGTCTCCTTAAGTTTTCTTACTGACTCTAGCTTTCATTGATAGTGTTTCCAGAAAGCGTAGTTGGTGTGAGCTCTCTATTTTCCAGGCATGCTTGCTTTCCTAGGCTCATTGCTCTGTGTCTGTCCTTTCTCTAAGTCCTTTTCTGAGCTATTCTTCAGATATTCCCTCTCCCTTCCTGTCCTGCCTCCTGCTTGGGTCTTTCGTGTGCTGATCCTGTCTTATCTGTGCATGTATACATGGAAATAACCATGAGACAAATAGCTTCTGAGAAATGTGTTCCTGGGGAATTTTTTTTTTTTTTTTTTTTTCGGAATTGGGGATTGAACTCAGGCCCTTGAACTTGCCAGGCAAGCACTTATTCTACTGAGCCATCTCCCCGGTCTACCCTGGGCGAATTTTTTGTGAATATCACAGCCTGCAGGTGCATAAGCTAAGGTGGCTGTGATGTCACTAAATATAATGCCAAGGGCCACTGTCATAGAGGTGAGCCATCCTTAATCAAAATATCCTTATGTAGGCATGACTGTCCTCAGGCTTGAAGGCAGAGATCTGTTCATTGATGAATAGCAGATACATGTGGAGCAAGGCATTAAAAGCCTGAATCTTTAACCTTGCCATTCTTGGAATCATTGTGGCCTTAGATGGGTACAGTGGTCATCTTGCCCCTGCACTGTGGTGTTGCCCACAGAATGGCCTTCACTTTCACACTGGGCAGAGGCTGAGGAATTGAGCCAGGCCTCCAGGCAGCACCTGTGAGTTCCCAGCAAGCCTTGCAGCTGTGCTGTATGTGAAAACAGTACTGAGGTCTCCTGGCTTCTTTGTTCACTTTGCCTCACTGATAGGAGTTTGTGACAGAACTGCAGTCTTACTCTTTAAGTTGCATGTGTAGTCTGGCTGAGCTATAAATTACTCCTCTTGGGGCTGGAGAGATGGCTCAGTGGTCTAAAGCACCTACTTAGAACAAGCTTAGCAAAAACATCAGGGACCGCGGTTCAATC